CATTAACAGTAATGCAAGGGGCATCAACCGAGCCGCATAGCACTCACCGATGCGAGAAAAACATTCCCCGCCTCAACAATGGATGGGGCTTATGCCCTGTCAATTTCTCGAACCGCTCCAGAAGTGCTGCATCAACTCTGCGCGTCCCAAATTGGTCAATCAACTTGTCGTAGTCGATCGCAAGCTGCTTGCCGTCAGCAGAGACTGAACCCTGGACATCCCACGGCGTGACCAGTTGCTCGTGCGCTTGGGCAGGGACAGTAGTGGGTTGGGAATTCGACATCTAAAGGTATGATTAAGTTTAGCTAGGGTGCTGAGCTATCTAATAAAAGTATCAGACGAACGTTGACTCGAGAGATTATCGCGGATAGCAATGCCACGTGGTTATCTAATCCAATTTCTAAAGTCGATCGTGAGGAACTCTAACAGTTGGTAGTCTTTTGAGCCGTGGCCCGTGACTACTATTCCACGTATAAGGAAGACACAGATTCCGGATAAGCGGGCTAATATCAGGCTCACCGCCCCGTGAACAAGCACAACAGTCTGGGCTTGCAAAGACTTGCACCTGTGGCGTTTCAACTTGAAGTGACCTGGGAATGCGGAAATGGTAAGTCGCGACTGCTTTCGACGATGCATTTACAAAGGTCTTGTCACTGCGGTAATATACCGTACCTAGTCTCGAACCAGCCCGGGACCATAGCTGGCTAGAAACTAGCCGTCGGACCAGATCTGCATCCAGTGCCGGCTGAAAGTGAACTTCTTCATGCTGCTATGCATCATGCCCGTGCCTGTCGCTATCAGGAACAATGACAAACGTCACCACCGCCGTTACGCAACAGGCTGGCATAGCACTCTTCTTTCGCACGAAGAGGTCGGGATGGTACTACGTGAAAGGGTGAGGAACTTGAAGCTAGGGGGCTTTACCTTATCTGCGTTCACGATGTATGTAAATCTTTCAGGGATACAGTTTTCACGTCGATGTCATCAATCGAAGTGCGAGAAAACCACAAGATAAATACAGCTATTCTGGCTGTCCTGGGTGCCACATCCTTTTGGTGCTCATCCCAACCCACATGGTACTAGTGATTTCTTGGGCGACAATTGTGACTCTGAGAGGTAGGTTTGTGCATGGTATTTAAACTTCGCTGAACCTTTTTCAGCTATCTCGAGTGCCATCATAGCCATAGGGCTGGTGTTGACGGTTTTTAGACTCACCTACCGTGTTTGGTTGAGAAGATTCTGGGTCGAGGATGCTTGGGCAGTCGTCGCGTTTCTATGCGGGATAGCCATGTTGACTTCTTCCTGGACCTACGTTACCGGAGGTAAAGGACGTCCGCTCATTAATATCGCCCACTGGTCATAAATTCCTGCTTGCAGACAACGAAGACGAAATTATTTCATTCTGGATATACTCATTTTCTTACCCCTCCGTCGTGTGGTGTGTCTTCGTGTTCAACCTGCATCATTGTTACTGAGGGGCTGATAGGGCTGTCCGGGAAAGTATATTGTTCTCCATCGTTCGCATTGTGTACGCAACGCAGCACCTCCGTCGCTTGATACTTGGTCTGGGAGTTCTCTTCCTCTGTTTGTGGGCAGGTCTTGTTGCACAGAGAGCGTGGCAGTATGGGCACAACACCAGTTGGTACAACACCGCGACAACTGGAAAGGTGCACGCATACATGTCACGACCCGCGGTTACGTTTGAACTGATAGGTGCGACCTTTCTTGCGGCTCTCAGTACACGACCTGAACTCGCATACACGACAAGTTGACTGCTTATCCGACGCGATACTGATCGTTCTCCCATTACGCTTACTCTGGAGTCTCAAACTACCAAAAAGACAGAGGAGGATGATTTTGGCCATATTCTCCTCCGGCATCGTCGTAACCATTGTATCCATCTTCCGGGGCATTTGTCAGATAGCGAGATACGGGACTGTGCTGAGCTCTGCGACAAGCTTCCAGGTACAGTCAACGTCTTCTTCTACGACAACTTGTTTCTGAATGTTGAACATACTAGATAGCAATGTCGCTTCTTGTTTGCAACCTTCTTGTCGTAGTCACGTTCCTGTACCGCATATTTGGTTTTGCAGGTGTGGACGATGGGGTCTCTAGCGATGACGATGATTACTCGACGCAGACCACGACACGGACCATGACGCGAATCACGCCGCGAACTACTACGCGGGAAGCTTTTACCACCGTCGAATTGAGCGATCTCGGGTCAGGAAGTGACGAGCGGAGAAGGTCGAGCAATCAATCTACACTCCAAAGGCGAGAAATTTGTTAATACTGCGTAGCAGATGTTTGATTTAGTTTACCTTCCTGTCGAAGACTCGACAGAGTGTAACCACGAGCAGGGCTTTCCCGTGACATTATCAAAGCGTTGTGAAGCTTGGATGCGAACATGTAACGGAGTTGCCAGTGTCCCACACTGTCAGGGAGGCAGACAACCGACTCAGGTTCAGATTGTATTGACACCGGCAATCCACTTGACTTCTACTCGTCCAAAACTTATATGAGTCGTAACGACGGCTACCTCCGAGTCAGTGGTCGACAACCCGTCGAGGTGAGCTGGTGAGAATCGATTATTCCAACTACGGAAGTAACTCTGGAATGCAGTTCATAGTTCTGCCCCACCAAGTCTGTGCACAACTTTCTCGTGGACGCATATGGCGGGCTACATGTGATATCAGCCCGTTGACATTGGTCTTCGTACCAATATGGGGGGACATGGCTCAGCACCAGCAACGACAAGAAATTACACAAGCCCTTGCGACGCAGTCCTCAGAAGCAATTAGCCGGGGCAGGAAACATACACCTGTGGCTTACAGATTCAGACCGGTACGGAACTTCCGCGCACAACAGAATTCGGTAGATCACATCACTGACACACCCGGAGTGTTTCCCAATGAGCTTGATTGATTTACTAACGGGCCGCTGTCGTATCACCTTCAGGACACATACATTGCTTGGCAGGTTTGCCGCTCAACCATCCCTGAATTACGTCAGGGTAGGGTGTTCGTGACATAGCGCCCAATAACTTAGCCATCGAGCTCCAATGTCTCGTGCATGATAGGCTGGGAGAAGTTTCCATAGTACAACGTCGCCGAGCTTCCGCGTAAATCGACCGAGAATGCGGTGAAGCAGGGTCACTGTTTCATCATCGAAGGCGTTCTATATATTCCTTCCTGTCAATACAACAACGACGCTCCCAAGATTCGAAGGCATCCAGGCATTTTGGGATCTAGACCACTAAGGCCAGACTCGGCGACTAACGAGGAAATTTTGAATGACCTTCGCAGCTTCGCCAAGTTAACTCATGTCCTTCTTGGCTCTGTCCTGAAAATAGTTGATCTTCCACGCCTTCTTACATTACATCAGGCTGTATGATCAATTTAAGCCTCCAGCTGGATGGCTGGGTTTCATGATATCGTCGATACACCATGCCACCGATGGCGTTCAGAGGTAAAGCCCAATCATATCTCGCAACATCCTAGCCCTTCAATTGATTTTTAGTCTGTTACACTGTCATCCAGGTCTCGGCTATATTACTTACTATCCTGCGGCTCGGGTACCGTGCCCGGACACAAATGTTCTGGGTGGAGGATATGTGGGCTGCCGCAGCGCTCGTGTGTGGGGTGGTGAGTGCAAGTTGTCGTACTTGTATTATATCGCAGTGATGACGAATGTTGAAGGCCTCGTTAATTGCTGGATGGACCTACGATTATACTGGTGGGCAGAAGTCAGTTGATTTTATCCACTGGTACGGGCTCATATTTGTCCTGACTTAATAGCTGGCCAGTGGTCAATCATATCGTTCTGGGTGTACTCGTTTGCATTTCCATCAGCTATCTGGTGCGCATCTTCCCGTGTCTATCACTTGTTCGCTTGCATATGATAGGGTCAGGGCAGTCCGTCAAAGTATTCTCTTTTCCGTGGCACGGATTTTCTGGTCGATGAGGTTATTGCGCCTCACGGCCATCATAATATCCGTCGTTTTCCTGGTGTTGTATGGCGCGCTAGTAACGCAGAAGGCTTGGCAATATGGCCATGATCTCAATTGGTACCATCACCCCGACAAGCATGGCAAAGTACATGCGTATTTGAGCCACCCCATGGTTATTTTTGAGTTAATGAGTAAGAGCGTCATTCTGAACTACATCCTGACCACTTACGGTGTTACAACAGCGGACTTCGTTTCTGATGCAATCCTTGTATTGCTTTCCTTGCATCTTCTGTGGGGAGTCAAGCTTCTAGCGAAGGAACGCAGAATGATACTGGCAACATTTTCGGCTAGTATCATTGTGACGATTGTCTCGGTTTTCCGCTCTATCTGCCAAATTATGCAATTAAGGAGTATCTTGAGGATTGCGACTGATTCAGAGGTATGGTTTGCGCCTCGCGTTGAGGCACCTTTTGGTTGACCGCTCGCCGAAAATAATTAGCTCGCGGTTTCGCTCATCATATGCAACCTCTTGGTGGCAACAACGTATATCTACAGGATCATAGCTCGTCGTAGCCGCAGTGTCTCCGAGTCCGAGTCAAAATCTGAATCGGAGATAGAGCTTTCCGAAGTCGCTGCACCAGCCTTACAGTCACCCGTAACACTTGACGGCACAGGACTTTTGACTACTATCGACCTAACGAATTACAGTTGGGACAGTCAGCCTGTCACTGAAGCAGAGGCATAGGGTTATTGACAATTAGGGCAGAAATACAGATATCAATGTCGAAACAATGTAATGATACATACCGTGGTGTCTAGTACACGTTCTTAGCGAGGGTCCGTGCTTTTCAGGGAGATTGATAACGATATACACTATCAAACTGCTGCGTAGGTACTATTGGTTACCACTCACTCGTGCAGTCCCACATTTCGTGCATCCTCCAAAACCACACTTTTCCTACTACAAATCTTCAAACTACTATGTCCATTTGAAATAATAATACACAAGAACATCTTACGAGCTTAGACGGATGCATTCGGACAAGAAACAAGAGAGATAAATGTTTGCTTGTGACAAAGGCTTTTGTCACTTCCATTGTCACCTGCCGTCCGATGCCGTAGCGGAGTTCCAACTCAGACGCGTTGGTGGCAACGCGTCTGGACGCGTCTACTTGCCGCACGGATGGCGCGCACTCGAGTCGGTGGGAAGCGGAAAGGTCCCCGAGATCCCACCAAAGAGGCTCGCATTCAAGCCGCCATCCAGGATACCTTGACTGGTGTTCATGGCAGTTTTCGCAGTGCTGCCATAGCTCACAATGTAAGCACTCCCTCAATAATTTTATCGCAACTCAATTTTCCTTCAGGTACCCCCACAGACTGTGCGAGATCGTGCGGCAGGCAAACACCATACTCGACGCTCATTCCTCAACAAGAAAAAGTTGGACGAAGAAGCTCGTATCGCACGCATTCACAACAGCATCACGATGAGGACATTTGATAGTCCCTTCACATCATACAAACGGAAAGAAGATCTCGAAGCACTTGCCGGAGCACTCGGACTCTCGAGAGACGGAAAAATCGCTGATCTTGCTGCACGGATCAAAGCTCACTTGGAAGATCCTGACACTCGCACAGCCCTTGCAGATAATCCTCGATTTTCGGTGCTATATGGTTCAAAACGACGCACTGGCAGGCCTGTTGCCGTTGCCGTTGCCAACCCAACTTCGAATGAAAACTCAACACCTTCAGCAAGTACTCCTCTCCCCACGGCAGCCAACAATATGTTCTACCCGCAGCCACCATTTTTTCCGCAAATGCAAGGATCTCTCCCCATTCCTTATCCAAACCACCTACATCATGTTGGCCCCGCTGTACTCTCAACAACCGCTCCTGTCATATCTACATCATCACAGCCATTGCTGTCTGGGCATCCTAATAGTCTCCCTTTTCATTACTCCGGCAACTCGCAATACATATTCAATTAGATTACTACATACTAGCCACTGGTACACTCGTATATATCTTCCTAATATCTAATCCACAGCGTGTCCAGCGGACTGCGAAATCGGACAGTGTGACTATTCCGTGACTTTCCGTGACATTTGCGTGACTGCACGAAATGTGGGACTGCACGAGTGAGTGGTAACCAATAGTATTTGGCAACATTCCGCAGGCGTTTATGTCAAGATCGGCGCCAGTAGTCTGACATTAGTCAATGAGAACTTCGGTTGCAGTATCACGTAAGGGTGAGGGTGTATGAACGGATGGCCAGCCCATTGTACATTCTGCAGAGCCCGCTAGATTGTTTCGAAACATATCAAGTGATAATCGATAATCCTTAGTACACTCTCGTACCCTGCATCAAGAATGCGCAGTTAGGCAGTGCTGACACGTACAGATAATCAGACGCAAGAGCGTGAGAATAATATTTCCATTCCAGGTATAATTCTGGAATATTCCACGCCACAGGTATTGCCTGAGCGCCAACATATGTGTAGCTTTCAAAGTCGATTCCAAGAGGACGTGTGCATCCTATTCGCTCTAAAGAAAGTCTATCGAGACGAATGCATTCAAGTATGGACAATGAATAAGAAAAGAACAAGGTAGCGCGCACGGATCATAAGTGATGGATTTGATGATGGGAGAGAGAGGAAGAGGAACAATCGAATGGAAATCAGTCTGAGTCATGATCGGAGTTTGAAATTCAAAGGTATATATAATGGTCGCGACCTCGACCCTTCACGCATTTTTTCTCCCCGCCGAGATTTCCCACGACTTATAATTTTCATTGTGCTGTCCGTTGTCAAGAATGTCTTTCGCACTTCCCGCTCGTCAGGTCACATTCGGCAGGGCTGCTGCGCCTTACCAGCCAAGTCAACCTTCTCAGTCACAACCTAGTCATGGTCTTGCGCTGCCTGGCGCCAGTACCTACAGTCTTCCGGCGCCATCGGGTCTAGCGCTTCCGGGACCATCACCACTATCCCAATCACATACCCCTCCTCCTTCACAACCTCAGCCTGCTGCCAATGCTACTACGGCAATTAGCAATGGAGCAATATCAGCCGCTGTGGCAGGCCCCTCGACGCCACCAACTACTGCTGTCCCCGCTACACCCGTCCCCCTCACTCTTGAGCAACAGCACATCACGGCTGTGGAAGGCATCGTGCCCACGCTGCAAAACATCGTTGCTACAGTTAACCTCGATTGCCGTCTTGACCTCAAGACCATTGCACTGCACGCTCGGAATGCAGAGTATAACCCCAAGGTTGGTACTACTGTTTGACTTACGTGTCGTGGCACGCCAATGCGCTTTGCACGATAGCGTTTTGCAGCTGTCATCATGCGTATTCGTGATCCCAAGACAACTGCACTTATTTTCGCCTCGGGCAAGATGGTCGTCACGGGTGCGAAGAGCGAAGACGACTCGCGACTGGCGTCGCGCAAGTACGCGCGTATTGTGCAGAAGCTCGGCTTCGACGCCAAGTTTGCCGAGTTCAAGATCCAAAACATCGTCGGAAGTTGTGATGTCAAGTTCCCTATTCGCTTGGAAGGTCTTGCGTATAGCCACGGACAGTTCAGCAGTTACGAGCCTGAGGTATGTCGTAGTCATTCGAGCGACCATTATTTGCTCACCTACGTTTAGTTGTTCCCCGGTCTCATCTATCGCATGCTCAAGCCGAAGGTCGTGTTATTGATCTTCGTGTCGGGGAAGATAGTGTTGACTGGTGCAAAGGTAAAGACTTCTATTATATCATCTCTTGTCAGGGATTCTTGGATTATTCCAAGATGAGACACACATGTTGGTGGATCTGGTTTGAACCCTCCGCTGACACTGTTATCATTCTCTCCTCCGCTAGGTCAGGGAAGAGATTTACACTGCGTTCAACACCATCTACACGGTGCTGTGCGAGTTCAGGAAACCCTGATGCAGTCTACACTTGGACTTCGTTCCCTTCTTCATGCCTTCTATCATCATACGGCTCGTACTGCACCGCTCGTCGATAGGGCCGCCCTGATTCTTGACGACTCTCTTCGACGACGGCAGTGGGCGAGGCCAATAAAAATATATTCTTTACCGAGGGTTGAAAGACCGGGGAGCAGACGTAGTGCACGGATATTCCTCATCCTCCCTCTTCACTGATAATAACCGACATCTTTGTCGCCGTCTTCTTCATGTTAATCAACCAATTGAACCATTCCACGTCAAGAACCTTTCTCATTCATGTCTTTTGAACATTCGGTTTGTCTTACACGTAGACCATATGATACAGTATGCTCGTAGTCTGGGTTACAATGTATTACTGCCCACTTATACCATGATGAACTCTCAAAGACAATAAAGTCCAATTGGATCAACAATGCAGATACATAACAAGTTACAATAGGGCACAAGAACAATAAAGTTCATAAGACGAAGCTGGATCAGGAATTTCGCAAGAAAAGTACATATCAACAATCGTTCAGGGTTCAGTCACCTTTGTCTTCTCTTCAAAATCGGACGTTCAGTTGTGACCACCAACAAGCGGGGCACGCTCTTCGTCCAAGATGATTGAGCCACCCCTGAACCGAGTAAACATGCCATAGACACCCCTGAACACCCAGACTGCAGAAAGCACTGCAAACACGAGTGCGGACCAGTGGATGAACCCTGAGCGGTGAACATTCTGATGAGCGAAGATCGCAAAGAGGGACCACGTGATCGCGAAGCTCGCAGGGAGGTCACCCTCAGGGCTGGAGAAAGCATAAGTTGCCGCAGTTGCCTCGAGGAAGAACCTGTACGACGTAAGACTTGTGACGTGTCAAGAGAATGACTGTAATGACGTACAGAGCAAGGAATACGAAAACTTTGGTCCAAACGCCAGCGGGGTGAGTAAGCGCGTTGACGCCAAATGCGTCAAACGCGGTTAGGATGACGAGGACGGTTGTCCACCCATGGTAGAGGGAGATAGGCAAGTGGACCAAGACTTCGTCGCCGGCGTTAGCAGGTGTGTGAAACTTCTTCACGATGTAGTAGATGTGCTTTAGGAAAGATGTAATTGACGTTCTCAATATGATGAAGCGAATAAGCTTACGGTGACAGCACTGCTTACGAACAGAGCAAAGATGAATGCGACGACATAGTGGTGGGACGCCCACAAATTCACGTATATCGCATTCAAGATGCCCAAAAGAGGGAAGCGCCACGAAATACCATCGATGATTACCTTCTTACCAGAGGGTGTGAACTGGTAGATGATAGTGCCGAGAAGGAGTAGATGAATGAGAGACCTGGGAACGACGTCAGTATCGGTTCGGAGAGCGCAACAAACAACATACCAAATCAAAAAGGCCCATGGAGCAGGGGTGATATATGTGTCCCTTGAAGTGAAGTAGATATCATGAGGCGCCGCTACAGTATAGACATTGGAACCGAGGAACAAGAAGTAAACAATGATGTTCGCGATCTAGAAACATAGTATGAGTCCGACATTTCTAAAGCTTGAGAAACCACGAACCTTGAGCAAGATGCAGTCTGTCCAACTATCCGACATGTTGATTCTGTTCTCTAATGTTCTTCGTATTGTGGTTTGCAAAACAAAGGTGGAGGTATGGAGCAAGAGGGGTTTTGCTTATGTAGTGGACTTATACCCCGCAGTCTGACGACATGTCCTCGTCATGCCAAAAAAAGGAAGCTGAACTTCAATTCAGCCACATCAACGCCACCGATGCGGCCATGCAGGGAAGCTAGGCACCGTGGATTTGAGCAGGCTTTTCAAAAACTCCTGATTTTAAAATGGTTGGAACTGAGTATCGCTGAGGGTAGGTCCCAGTACATACTCCTTTGCAGTTACTTATAAAATAGCTTTCTTTCAGGTTGTTTGAATCGTCATAAATATGTACTCGTCTTTGCGCGCAGTACGTGATAACTACGCATCCGGTACGCTAGTAAACTAGTAATTCTGATTACTTCTGATGCCGACTGCGGGTTGGGCTAGACTGTAGCGCGCATCAAGCAAAATGAACATGAGCCGAAAATCGGACGAGCCGCAGCACCTCCTTCGCGTTCATTCGGACTTTGATTACATGCGAATTAGGGACGGGGACAGAGAACACCTCAAGATCCATCATACTGCCAGTCAATATTTCGGACACGAGCGCACCCGACGATAGGAATTAACACGTGACAAGGTCAGTCGGGGGTTTTACTAATCGATCGCACCCTCAGATCGAAAGGCACAAATATTTTTTCTTGTATTATCGCCTTTATTGTCCTAATTGTATGTCTTCGTTGTCCTACTTGTCGAGCTCGCGGTCTTTGTGCACAGCATCCTCTGCCTTTTTCTCCAATCCTAGTGCCCGTGAATATTAATGCCGCCATCTCTCTGCATCCTGCCTAGGCCTGTAACCCTTGACACTAATCCTGCTCCTGCTCCTTCCTGCAGCCCGGCTAGGCCGTCGCCGCTAGGGTATAGCACGGGTATACCCGCGGGTACACATACAAGAAATACTAACACTGCGTAGGTCTAATAACCTCACCCAACATTCTCGTCCTCTCGCTTTCTTTTCTTCAGAGACTTCATGGTCTTAGTAAGGTCCTCGGGTGCTACCAGATCACAGCGGAGCCACGAGCCAAGACAGAAGAATGCACACGTCGATGACGGAGACAAGCGGTTTTGAGTGAAGTATAGAAGGTGCCGGCCTTGCGAAAATACACGTTCGACTACAGTCGAGGTAGCTATGGTGTGGAACACATAAGCTGTGATGCTAGCGAGAGCGATGGTGCACAGCCTACCAGGAACACTAAGGTAATCAAGTGCCATCCGGTGCAAATTCGGATACGTCTTTTGATTATGGATCTACCATTGCAGTGAGACTTTGGTATTCTCCACTGGTTGCCATAAATAGTCGTCAAGCTCATCTACTAGAGATAATGATATTATTTCACCTTCATGTTCCAAATGGACAGTCCACGCAATGAATGAGCGGTGGTTCGGGGAAGTCCATGCATCTGTGGCAAAATGAAGACGGCCAGCATGTTCCTGTATGCAGCTTGAGACTCTGTGGCGATATATGATCACATACCTGCAAGAGCTTACCAATGCGTTCTTGGGACTTTTCAAATGACGCCCGAATATCATGAGAGATTGTAAAATGTGATGACAGTTCGATATTAGGGCGTCCAGAGAGCAGGAGGTCACGAAGTGCACGGTCATTGATGATATTCACAGGTCGATTATTCTCTGTGATCCACCGCACGAGATTTGCCCTAAATTCAGTGTGAGT